TCGGATCTGTCCTTCGGATTTCATCGGAATCCGGTAATCGGAATGCGTCGGAAATTATGGGAATCAATTGTGATCCGATCGGATTCCGACAATCGGAATTCTATCGGATTCAGTCATCGGATTGAGACAGATCCGACAGAATCCGATGGCCCACTTTCGACCTGGGAAAGCGGAAAGAATCACAGTTCGAACAAGAATGATCTAATTAGAACACAGCTTTAGGATAGAATGGATAAAATATTATCGCACATGGAATATATACCGAGGACAAGATGTCAACAAATATGATGTGAAGCACATTTAGCACAATGATCATAAGGACATCCTTAGTAACCCTCATTTTTACTAATATATAGATCTCAAATAGTCACAGATCAGTAGCATTATATAAGAGGCATAAATGATATAAAAGATCACATTTTTCTGATAGATGGATGAACCTACATGAATACATGAATGTTGGGACATCCTGCCAGTTGATCACGCCCATGTATATAACATAGAGTTATAGATAGTTGTCGCTAGGTGATGATCAAGATTTTATATCAGAACTTTAAATCGACTCGTAAGATGCTAATTAATTCATCAATTTCAAGAGAACACAAGTTTCTCTAAGTTCCAGCAGAGTGTGGATGTAGGTGATTTTCTCCTCCCGGACTCCATCGCAACAGCCACAGCCCACACCCACACCATCTCCTTAGGTAAGTCAAACTTTATTTTCAACTCTGTCCAGTTCGAAAATTTAACTTATTTTCGAATTTGAATTATGCAGCTATGCGCAGAAATTAATAACATAAGATAAATTCTTCCCACAGTGTTTGTAAAAATCAAAATTAGATTCATAGGTTTTATATACAAACATCTTTTTCACTGGGATTTTTAACGTCGTGCAAGCTGTTCGAACCGCAGTTCTTCTACTTCATTTTTTTTATATAGGTCGGACTGAATTAAAATATTTTTAAACTCTTAGAAAAATTGTGCCTCATAATTTAAGAGAGAAAATCTAGTAATAGCTTACTTTCAGAATATGATATCATACATTGTTGTATATGGAATGAAAAAGTCAGTTAATATATACGCTCACACTACATGTTCGAATGTGAATGTCCATGAAGATAAGATCCTCTCCCACAATGAAACTCATATATTCTCGTTTTAGTTCTCTTATTCTCATCTCCATCGAAAAAGCATTGAATTAGTACATACATATTTGGAATAAATAACAACAACAACAACAACTCGGCATCACTTATACTCACATGTGTTATTATGAATATTTCTCTGTTAATGAGCTCAATAGCATATTTTTTGAAATAATTACAAATCTAAAATTATTATTAATAAATTCCCGTAAACAACTGAATTTACGAAAATAAATTTTTACTCAAATTCTTGCTGCTCAAGTTGTATCAATCGATTGCACATGTCTTCCAAGAATGTTATCACCATGTATTTTTGATTTTACTAATCTTCGTTCATTAAGATTACATGATGTGGAAGATTCACAAGAACTTCTCAATCAATCAATCAATATTTGTTAATTACTCGAAAAGTTACACTTAAAGATTTCAGTAAGAACAAACATAATACCGTTGTTCTTCTTCTTTCACTTTTGATACTATTACTGAAACTTAAATCATATAGACTTCTCTATCAAAGTTCTTAATTTGTATTACAAGAACATTTAATTGTTTTTCAAAGACTATGAACTGTTTCAAACTGAATATATTTCATCAAACTCTGTGGCATCATTTTATTGAATATGATCATGTTATTATTTGAAAAACTGGTTCTCAATATAAACTATAGAGTAGCTCAATGCTAATTTCCTATTTCATTTCGGCTTGAGTACATCAACGAAGGAATCTTTATTCTAGATAGTCGAATAAAAATTTAAGAAATTCATCGAAATTCGACTTTTTCAATCAGTTAAAAGGAACAACATTTTCTAAAGACATTACTACGATACAATATTGACACAAATGACATCTATATTCACAATCATATTTAGAACAACTTAAATGATAAATATGGGTTGTCAATCGAGATAATTGCCGATAATATTAAGGATTGCAGACGGGCAGTTCAAACTCATGTGGATGTAATCGAGTACTGCGAGTTGTTGAATCTTCATGATCTTAAATTATAGAATTAAAAAAATTCATTAAGTATCATGAATAGTATCGCCTAAGAAAGGTTTCAAAGACAAAGTTTAAAGTGAAACAGATCTTTTTAAAACGAACAGAAATTCAAATAATTTCAAATTTAAAAGACATACCTCTGTTGAAGTGTTTCCATGCATTGATCAAACGTTGACGAAATATACCAAAAAAAAGTGGACTTGTCAAAGTATTGACAGGAAATGATTTAGCAAAATTCAAATAATATATAATCAAAGAAAGTTGATCCAAAAATGATTCAACAGCCATCCTGTAGATACTTTTTGATACATCTCTCGAAAGTAAACTATATGCCAAGAAGACAGAACGAAAAGAGTTTAATATCATGCCTATACCAACTTGAAAGAGCATAATTGTAATTAGTTGATGATCAACTCTGCGCAGTCTACCTCTTTGAGTTGTGACATCTCTTACACGGTGTCGGGATGACCGAACATGTCTGAGAGTAATGACACTAGCAGCAAACATGATTGTATATAATAAAACTGAATTAACACTAAGGAAAAATACACTAACAAACATCGAATAAGCGCCAGATCTAGGCATGCATATGTATATATTATTATTCGCATCTACTAATTGTAAGTCATAATAAGCGAGTATGTGACAATAAGAAACAAGCCAGACTATAATACTTAGAACTGCAGTATAACGAGAAATTGAAATGCGACTTAATTTACGCCATTTGGTGGAGTTTGATGTTAGTAAACATCGATCGACTGATGCAAGAGTTATAAAAAGAGTAGCCAATGCTGGTATAACCACGGTCAGATATGTTCGCACTTTGCAGAACACGGCTGATCTACGTGGTAATATATATGAGTAATGATCACTCATTAAACGTGTTGAAGCACCAAATGTTAGATAAATCAAATCGAATATTGCTGAACATAAAAAGTATAAAGCACATGGATTGTCACGTAATTGTCTTGATGTAAAAGTAAGAAGATTGCAAAGACTACCAATTGTTCCAACAATAATGGTAAAATATGGAACATATAATGTTATACCACTAATCACTTGATTGAGTATAAGTATATTATTGTCTGTCATAATTACTGATGATACTTTGAAATAAAATTTAAATAAAAGAATACCAGCTATAGAATGTATGTAGTGTCACATAAAGACTGTATAATATTAAAAAAAAACAATAGAAAATGATTAAAATACTCGAAGCTTTTTTTGTTAGGATGTTCTTGCGAATAGAAACACACAATTAAATTTTTAAAGAACTAAAGTGCATTATATGTAAAACTTGTAGAATCAAAATCTAGACGATAATCGTAATTTAGTTAAGATATATTGTTGTAATAATTTATATTTTATATATTGAGATGGAAAATACAGTGTTTTTCAGCACGCAATGGGTTATGAAATTAAAATTAGAATAATATATGTTTAGAAAAAGACATTACTTTCAAAAAGAATTTTAAATCATTATTTTTGACTACGTCTACCAAGTAAATATTTGAAAAAGTTATTAAAAATATTAATTTAATGGAAAGTAAAGAGATTTACAAGTCATTATGGATGATATATTTATGTCGTAGGTTAATCCTGGGTGGGTCTAGAAGAATTTTGTATCCGAGATTGAACTAGACCAATCTCAGATCGAGAAAGCAGTTTACCACAAAAACCAAATCAGTTTCCAGACAAATGTCGAGTTCGGATTGCCATGGATGAACTAAAATAAGGCAATGGTATTTCAATTGATACAAAATATCAGTTCATGAATTAAGGGATGATATGAACAGACATAGGTCGTTTTATGTAAGATAGCAATTTGTATGGAGAATGATTCGTCACTAATCGAACTCGCAGTTAGTTCGTCAGATGATCACTGATTTATGTTGTTGAAATGGTATTGTCTTATTATAGTCCATCAAAAGCAAACTAGATCGACCATGGATCCAGAGACTTTTTAAAATTTTACCATAAACTTTCTTCGATCTAACATTGGAATAGTTTAATTTCGGATCTAAGATTCGTCTACGACATATATATTGTTTAACTATACTCATGAATTACAAGATACTATTACATATCTGTTTAAAGAAATTTTATTTATTCTTTGAAGCATGTACAAGATGAAAGAAAGCTACTTAGCACAGCCGCTTTGGGCCTGAAATATAGAGCTCACATATATTATTTAGCCTCGTTATATTAATATCAAATACGTAAAGTGAAAAATCTCTCACATACTATAGTTGTTTTCCAAGATAATCGATCTTATGAGAAGCAATTCCTCGTATTTATTTCTACATTTCTTTTTCGTATTCCGTCCTTCTTGACTACCCATTATCCTTGCAACTTAAATAGTAAGTTTAATCTACGCAAAAACAAAAATCTGTACTATTTAGAACATAGGCAAATGTATGCCAGCTATTCAATTTTCGAGGAATATTTTGGAATGTTCGGGAGTTCTGTAGAGCAGTCGAAGCCTTGCGAGGATGGAGCCAGAAAACTTCAACATAAAACTTATACTTACTACTTCCTTCGAAAATATATGTGTGTTTCACAAAAAAATGAATCTGAAAAGACATATAAAGATAAACGAAGTTTGTTATGTCATAAGATTCAAATATCATCGTGTAAAATGATGAAGTGAGTGCCACTAAGTATACACGCTTTTTACTTTTCTTTTGTGCATAGATTTATGGAACCCGAATATAGACTATTACTAACGCAAGTTATTATATATACTCCATTTAGACATTTTACCTTAAATAATGAAGTTACTTATCTTTGAATAGTAAAGCGTACCGAGATAAAAAAAATTCAATATTCTCTTGAACGAATTCATTCAGTTGGAATGAATTCATTAGAAGGATGAGCTTAAAAGAGTTGAGCAAGTCAAGTCTGACTTGATTTGCTCGACTCTAATTCTTCTAGTTACAATAGTTAAAAAAAAACTAAATGCTGTAAATGAACTATTGATATTCTATACAAAATTCAGCATCTTATTTATTACGATATTTCAGTTATTCGAAGCATTTATTTCAGTAAAACGGAATTTTTGCATGTATAACAGTTTCATCGTTAACTTATTTTTGAACAGGAAATGTTAAAGATTATTATATTCTACTGTGTTGATCTGTTATTCCTCTAGTACGACGAACACTCTCTGAAAGAAGAGAAAAATAAATTTATCTAAAATGGAATCTCATCTATTAATGTTATTATTGGAACATGTTTTTTTTGTAAGTTTAATCAAATATCTATATAAATAAAGACAACATAGAAAGAAAACTGATGGATAAGGGCAAACATGAGCGAGTCTGAATCACATTTGTTTAAAAGCTCTAACTTGAATCATTCATTTGAAAAAACAAGAGAAATAATTCAACACTAACATCAGTTTCAGAAAAAATTGGTGTCCTTCAATAGGAAGAAAATTTAAGCAGTTATCTTATTTTGTTAAAAACCAAAATTTATATCTTTATCAATCTCATAATAAGCTTTCTAGAAAAATCATATGTGCTCCTACTACATGAGCACTAATTGTAGGTTCTCAAAAGAGATAATTTAACTAAATCTTTAGCTACTCTCTTTGTAACAACATTTGGTTTATTAATCTTCATCATGTTATGATCTATCCAAACCTATCTTTATTAAAAAAAATCATCATAGCTATTTTAAATACTCAATCGTACAAAATAAAAAAGGAAAATACGAAATTTTGAATAGATATCAAATTTTTTAAACAACATTTGAATGTGTGTTTTCTTATAGTGATCTTTCAATAAGGTAACATCGTTTAAATTTTTTCAGTAGCTAATATTTACATTTCAACTCCTTTAAAATGAAATGGGACATTTATTTAAATGTTAATAAATATTCATTTTGTTGATAAAAGCTGATGTTTTACTATTCTTACTTAGTTGAAAAGACTATATATTACTCCTAGTTTTTATGCGCGAAAGAAAAATTAAGAATACACAACTATAATATAGCTTCACTTGTTGATCTCTAGCAAGAAAAGAAATAAAACTAGTGATAGACACAGTTGGAAGGTCAGAAAGACAAGAAAGAAAATAAAGGATGTATCGATAGACGATCAAACACAAATTGTATACATATGACTGATAATACAAAATGAGAGTTTTTTGTGCTTTTCGTTATTCGTTTGATCAAGCTTGTATGATAGATCATACCCGACGAAGTCTAATCATAAAATAAAGACTTAAAAAACCAAATTCCGCAACGAAAACAGTCGATACACTTGAATATTTTATTCATTTTGTGGTATGTGGCAATATCGGATATGTATTATCCATTTAAGAATGACATGAACTTGCTTTGAGTATCTGAATAAATTAAAGACTTAGGGAAAAAAAGCTTTCTTTTTATATTCAATTAATCACATATATAGTTCATTTATGATCTATTTCAATTGTCAGAGATGCGATTTGATAGAATAAACATACGCATATATTTGGACCCTGAATTTCCTTATAGCCAATTTTTCTATGTGAAATCTATTTTAAGTTATTCCTAATGTCATGTGAGGATTATTCAGACTACGAAAGTTGGTACACAATGTTTTTCTGAACATACTTAGGTTTTTCAAAAAGCTGTGATTGCTCATTGTTAAAAACATGACAGTTTATGAATGTAAAAACGGAAAATATTCTTGTAACTGAATGAGAAATCTAGCAATTAGTTTTAAATATTTGCTTCGGGATACAAGAAAATCTCTAGAAATCTAGTTTTTGAGTCTGCTCTTGCGAAAAACTTCATCATATGTGTACTTCATGTCTTAGAGTCTATCGTGAAATTCTTTACTTCTTCTATCGTAGGGTTAGGGAGTTATGTGCTATTTACGTCTTAATGAATTAATTAATAAGCTAATAAGTTTTAATTGGATGTTAGCGGAAAGATTCAAAATTTTTGCATATATTCATATGAAAAGAACTTCTTAAAAAGAATGAAAGTCAAATGAAATATGGTTATGTCCCAATGTACTTAAAATGACCTCTATATTGATAACAAAGTCATTTTTTTGCTAAAAAAAATTATATAACCTGTAAAGTTATTATATATCAAGATTGTTATAAAGGTAGTATGCTTCGAAGTATAACAAAATTAAAATACGACGAATTAACTATAAGTATTTTGTATGAAAATAATCTTATCATTAGTAGTTGGATAATTATTATAATATAAATAAAGTTTTCAGGAAGAGTTTATATTACATACTTATTTTTTACAGATATTTATATTGTCATAGCTAGACTGGTTATGACGTGACAACGTAATGATTATTACTCGATCTTGTATCATATTCTTTTGACCTTCGACTGTGTATATTATCAGAATTAATGGAAGGATTGAATGATAACAAATTATCTGACATAAACTCGACAACTAAGAATAAATGGATGTACTTTTTCTTGCTGTTCATATTATATTGAATAATTAATAAAAGAAATACTAATCAGAGACCATATCTGTAGGCAATTATCATAAAAACTATATTTTGAAATGACAGATGTAAATAAGATTTTCAAACAAGGGAATTATCAAGTCTATATTCTACTGCTCTATTTGTTGAACTATGTCGACGATTTTAAATCGTTATAATGATATTTAAAATTAATTGAGAAAATAGTCAGAAAAGGCAAAAAATAAATTTTTATTTCAGTTATAATTATAATTCTACTAAGGATTATCATGTAAGAGTTGGCAAAAATGCAAAGATAAGGTTATGTCAGTTATAGTTATAACTGAAATAAAATTTATCATGAGATTTTCAGACATTCATATAGGATACTTCCTACTTGAATTATTATTATAATTTAGCCAAACTTTATCTTTAACTTTTTATAAGGAATTCCTTTGAGGTTTCAAAAATTCAGCTTATTTTCAAACTCGAATTAGACAACTATTCTTTTATGTAGAACCATTTGATTGGTTCAATGACCATATGGTAGAGAAAAGAGATTTAACAATGTATTAAACTTTGATATTTTTTTCTTTCATCGCATTATTGAGTAGACAAAAGCAACATTTATCTCAATATTATGGTAGTAGTAGGAAAAAGAAAGGAG